TAACCCGAGCCGTGCTACTGACAATTGGCACAAATGCGGCTTACGACCAGGTCAAGCAAGTGCTGCAGGGGAACTTTGAGTTGAAGGAGGGATTGCCGCTGCATTTTCTAACCTCAACCGTTGCTGGCATCATAGGCACGGTCATGACCCAGCCGATTGATGTAATGAAGACAACCTACATGAACGCCCCACCCGGCGAATATAACGGCCTGGCAGCGGTTGCAATTGCCACAGCGAAACAGGGTCCATTGGCGTTCTACAAGGGTTTTGTACCGGCGCTGATGCGCGTCAGTCCCAATACGATTATCACCTTTATGCTGTACGAGCAGGCTCGCTTGCGTTTCGGTTACCTGCCGCCGGATGGCAAATAGCCAGCCGTATCTGCGGCTTGAGGCAGCATTATCTGAAGCTAAACGCAGAAGCTGCAGAGAGAGAGAGAGAGAGAGAGAGAGAGAGGTTTGACTTTTCCTCATGTTTGCACTGTCTGCCCGTCCGTCCGTCCGTCCGTTCGTTCGTCTGACCGTCTCGCTAGTTATCTGCCAGCTCTATTTGGTGCAGTTGTCTGTCTGGGGCTTTTCCGCACGCCGCCCAGCCGCTCGCCCGTCTGTCTTGTTTGTCAAAGAGAAACAGTTAAATGCCAGTTTACCAGTTAAATCGGAATCAAAGCGAAAACAATGACACACAGCAGCAGCAGCGACGGCAGCGACGGCAGCATAGCCTCCCCTCGAGACACCAAAAGTGTGGTGGCGGAATCCGACCTGCTCGGCAAATGGCAAGTGAAGTAACTGCAAAAAAAAAAGACCAAAAACAAAAAAAAAATCGTCTAGACACAGACTAGACTCCATAAAAATAATTATTATCGGTTGCAATTTCTGTGCCTGTGCCTCGCCGACCGGCCGGTCGGTCGGTTGGTCCGTCGGTCGGTCGGTCGGTCGGTTGGTCGCGTCTCCTGCTCCTCTAGTCCCCACTCGGCTGGCACGGCTCGAGGCAGCGTTGCACGTCATTCGCGTCATTCGCATCATTCGGTTTCATCTGCTTCGCATTACGATTGCAGTTTTTATCGCTCTCACTTGCATTTGACTCGATTTTCTGTTTTTTCCTCAGGTTACGTGCTCCTCGAATGTTCCTGACCAAATCTGAGCGTTGCATCCGCTCAACATTCCCGGCCCCAAACCCAAAGGGCTGGCGTATTGCATTTGATTTGTAACTATTTTGAAATTGAAATGCTCCTCAAAATTGTTTTGCCTTTACTTTCGGCTGTCTATCAAATTGATTGGGACACTAAACGGCAGAACTCAAACGCCGACTCGCCCTAATAAGTCTAGGCTTTATGTGTGTTGTCATTGTGTCAAAATATGTGTAGCACAACATGTGGCATATGTATTTCTATATATACATATGCACATTACAGGTGCCATAAAAATTTTACCATGTCCGGTCGTTCCAATAAATATTGGCCTATATAATGAAAATGTAACTCATTGTTTTAAATGCGAAAAGAGGCAGCGGAAGAAATCAAGCAAAATACATAACTTTTTAGTCTTGCAAGACACGCTGCATGACATGTCATTGACGGCGTCTTCGAGCAGTTTTATTTTACGCCTTAACATGCCAATGCTTGTCTATAAGACTTGGTCGAGGACATGTCAGCGATGACGTCATCGATGATTCAGATCCGAAATTCATATTTGAGGAAAATTATTCTATACATAAAACATTTTGCATAGGGTATTAAATTTTCTGTAAACGTAATTAACGGGCGTTTTGAATACAAACGCAATTATATTTAAAGCGTTAACTGGAGTTAGGGAAGGGACAGCTCAATAATGGACGCAGGCCAGTTAGGCGCTTGGCTGGTCGCACACATAATACGGAGTGAGAGAGGGGCAGAGGAAGAGAGGAAGAGAGAGTGGACAGGCGAATGGATGTGGATATGTTTGATATGCTGTCGACACGCATCGCTGAGCATGCAACACGCCGGCAACTTTGACAGCGGCAATGGTGCGACAAGAACGACAGCAATGTGGAGCAAGGAAATATGCAACACAGACGCGGACAGGGCAAGTGGCAAGTGGCAAGTGGCCACTGCCACTGGCTGGGGCAGGCACCAGGTAATTGCCACAATTTGCTCGTTGCGTGAATGGACAGAACAAGCAGCAGCAGCAGCAGGCCGCAAAAGGAAAGGGCGCAAAAGGACGACAACTTCCGTCAATGTTTGCCCTAGGGCAGCGGCAGGGGCAGGGGCAGGCTCTGTGGCAGGTTTTATGTATTTTTTATTTTTATTTCTTTTTATTTTTTTTTTTTTTGTGTGCTCGCTCTTGCAACGCCTTCTGTCATATTTGAGGTGCGCATAAAGGCACTCAACGCCGCCATAAATCAACTGCCAACTGCACTTCTGATCTAAGGCTGTCAACTGCCGCACCGCACCGCACCGCCCCGCCCCGCACCAATCCGCACCGCCGGGACGCAGCGAACCGCCAAAGCGGGCAACGGCGGCAACAACGGCAACTCTTTAGGCCATAACTTTGCAGACGACAAAACAGACGGTTGATGTGCGCGCCCGGTGTTTCACCTGAGCTTTGGCAGCTGTCAACCCCATCTCCCCCCTGCACTTCACTCCCGACCTGGCAATGCACCCCTTGCCCGCCCTTATCTTGCTCTTATGTCTAGACTACAGACGTTGTCTGTCGTGGCAGCCGCAGCAACAGGAAACAGTAGTAGACAGCAGACAACTGTGACAGCTCAAAGCAGAGCAGAGCTAAGCAACTGCAACAGTGGCAACAACAGCAACAACAGCAATTGTACCTGTGTCCAGCGTGTCTCAAATGAGCCAACAATTCTCAGCTGTCAATAATGTCTGTCATTGCTGTTGTTGTTCAACCTTTCTAAATGTTAGCGCTGGCCGCGTGTCGTGTCCGGCGTAACACGAACAACCAAATTCGTGTTCGTGTTCGTGTTATGCAAGCTCTTTCACTTATTCCCATATATTCCGAACTGAATGATGTTTTCGGGGTTTAGACATGGCTTACAAAAGTGACTGCTGTGTGTGCTTCCCAAGCTCCCACACAAGCTCCATCACATTTTAAGCGATATAAATCGATTAGAGAAAAGAATATACACACACTGGTCCATCTCTAATAACGGCCATATTGGACTGCCCAAAAAAAAAAATGTTGCCAAATGCATTTCAACTCTCAAAGTTAAATCCTGCGCCCAGCCGGCAAAAGTCCTAATCCTTTCGAAATTGAGTTGTAAAATGACAACTTTGTTGGTCATAAGCGAAGGGACTTGTTGAAAGGAGGGGGGTGGGCAAGCTCTGCAATCCAATGCACATGTTTGGGTCTCTAAAAAGTCGCCAGCCCTAAGTGGGCTGCGGGCGGTGAAGGGATGCGCGGAGGCCATTTGGCGTTCCGCTTAATTATTCAAAACCATGTCATGTCTCTGTATAATTTTATGCATTGGCCAATGCGAGCGCCAGCCGCGTGTTGATGATGATGACGATGATGATGATGATGACGAGGGGCTGACGCCTACACAGTCAGACGAGACAGACAGACGAATGAATGAACAGATCGTGAGGGGGGCTTGGAGAGTGAGAGGGGCACAGACGGAGGCCAGACACAGTCAGACAACGCAGCGACAACTGAAAAAGCAACAACTGCACACACACACACACACACACACATGTACACAGACACAGAGTGGGCAACCGCCAGCGTCAGAAGGAGCCACATGTGGCAATCACGAAACTTAGTGCCGTTACACACACACACACACACACACACACACACACATAGACAGCTCTACATCTCTGCGGCCAGAGTGAGAGCGTGGCATACCAGACAGTCTGACGCTGTTGGAGCCCACGTAGAGCGCAGCCACTCAGACTGCGACTTGTTGTTGTTGTTGCAGTAGTTGTTGCTGTTGTTGTTGTTTTTGCTGGCCAGGTCTCCGTCTGTCTGGAGGACAGCAGCAGCAGCAACAACAACGTCGACAACGACAACGACACAGTCTGTGGCAGACCGAGACTATCGAAAACTCGAAATTTATTCGTTGGAAAAAGTTGATTTCAATTTTGTTTCTTTTTGCTTTTGTTTCGCTCTCTTTTTATTTTATTTCATATCTACTTTTATTTATTTTTTTTTTTTGCCGTCTGTTGTTTTTTTTTCGCTTCCTTCTTCTTGTTGTTGTTGTTGTTATTCTTTGTATTTATGCAGTCAAAAATGAGTTGCAAAAATGCCCACGAAAATTATGTTAACCAGCGGCAGCTGTGTTCCAAAAAAAAAAACCCACATCTACATCTTCATAGCTGTTCCAGTCCTATAAGCCCGACAAGTTGGGCCACAGAGCTGTAGAGTTGCCCAATTGCAATGTCCGACAGAAATGGAATTCATGATGCATATGGAAATTTTTGAAAATATGAAAATTTTGGAAGGAATTTAATAGTGAAGACTCCGTAAAAATAGAGTGTACGCCTCATAGAGAGAATTAAGAATTTTAAAAGAGTTTAAAAGTTAAAGTGAATTAATAATAAATAACGACCAACAGCAAAAAAGTATACGAATAAACACCAAAAACAGCTACAGACAGTCTGTATATCTTTTTCAAGAACCTCCTGGTTCTATCACACTATTGACAAGACCTTATCTTCAGTCCAAAGCTAGAACCACTTGCGAATTATAAGCGATAAACAGGCAACAAAGATAACAAAACCAGCCTACAAATGATCTCAGAAATGATATTTTAATACCTGCGCACACAATCATAAATTATAGACAGGAATTTTAAATCTATCAAATCAAAGAGAAGTTTCGATTCCCATCTTTAAATTCTGAATACGTTGATAACACAATTATTTCATAGAACCAGAAATAACTTTTTAAAAGAATTTTTGCTGTGCAGTCCTGGTTAAAACATGTGTTTGTAGGCAATTTAATAGAATGCTGGCTTTAATATAGGATATGTTCTTTTTTTATTTATTTAATATATTACCTACTCACCGTATTTCTGCCAAAAGCTTTTGCTGCTCCTATTTTTCCCTGAATCCGTAACGAAATTCGTATCGAAATGTGAATTCTCTTCGTATATCTCTGTATAGAGTATGAATTCGACTCGTGCTGTTGTTGTTGTTGTTGATGTTGTCGATGTTGCTGGTTGTTGTTGTTTATGTTGTTGTTGCGATGTCAAAGGTGATGCGGTGGTCGCTGTTCGGACTATATCACGATTAAAAATTCGATGCGCAGCATGCAGAGTGTTGCGCGTTTTTGTTGTTGTTGTTGTTGTTGTTGTTGTTGCTCTTGGCACATGAGGCGTTGCAATTGTTGCCGTTGCTGTTGCTGTTTTAGTTGCCTGCAACAATGTAGCACGTTGATTAATTTGATATGGCAGAAACATGGACGCGGGCGAACCGAATGCCGTCGCAGGGGCAACGACGGCGACGGCGGCGACGCCAACGTCAGTCGAGTGCGACGCGGCGCGACGACGACCAGGAGCAGGAGCCGGAGGAGACGGAGGTGGCGGTGGAACGGGCTGGTAGACGCGTGTTTCTGTTTGTGTCCCGGTTGTTGTCGTTGTTGTTGTTGTTGTTGTTGTTGCTGCTGTTGCTGTTGTTGCTGTTGTTGGTAATTTATTAGGCAAATTTGCGGCTGGCAGCGAATTATGTTTGGGCAACACTTTGCTCTGGCTGCTGCCGATGCGTTTTATAATTAAATCTAACTTATTATTTGCACTATTTACACTGTGCGAAACGCGTAAGCGCGTCGCATCGTACGCACTATATACACTTGAGGCGTTTCCACTGGCTATGTTTCCACTTGCGGCGCTTCCAATATGTTTGCGATATGCTTCCGTTCTCTGGATGCTGTTGCTGCCGTTCTGGCATGTCCGACAGATTTTGTGAAGGATGTTGCTGCTGCTGCTGCTGCTGGTGCTGCTGGTTTTCGGCTCCTGCTGTTCCCGCTCCCTGTTGGGCGCCCAAAAGTATGCAATACTCTGGCTTTGTCTGCTGTGCATGGGCACCGCGAGGGCTTGTCCCGACCACAATATGATTGTTGCCAGAAGCGTCAGATTGAACGCAACCAATGTGCTTGCTGTACAGCGGGCCCCCGCGGCGCCACTGGCTGAATGCGTGGGGGCCACAGCGTCAACTGTATGCGAATTGATAGTTCACTGTACTCGACAACGACCACAACAGTGGAACATCAATTGAAGCCCCAAGATAGTCGACCCAACGCTCAGCAGCTGCTGCAAAATTAAGTAGAAGAAAAACAACAGATATTAAACGGGTTTTAAAACAAAGTATAAAAAGTACAAAAGATTTGAGTAATGCTTAAAAAACATTTGAATAAATAAGATAAGTCGTACCAGGCCTTTTCATTAAAGTCAATATACAAAAGTGAAAACGTCGCATTTTCTAACTAGATAAATACCCTGTTTCCACTGGTAGCTTTACTCAAAAGAGTTTTCACTGTATATCGACTGAAAATTTGCTTATATGAAGCCTGTCAAATTAATGCTTTAGACTTTGGTAAAAGCTCGAAATCGAAAACTGTGTATTATATGTTTTGACTCTGGAATCCTTCATTTAAAAGGTTGTCTTCAAGACACTGACTCTCAAACTGCGAATTTCAAACTGTGACTTAAGCAGAGTTGCATTTCAATTGCGACTTCTAAACAGCATTAGCTTCGTGCATATATCTCTGTGACTCTCAAACTGTAACAGTAACTGTCTGTTAATATGCGATGCCAAACGTAAAGTTGAAGGTAATTTTTAGTTTTTTTGAAAGCCAGTCGCCGTATACGTAAAATGAATATTACCCTGTTGCTCTCAAACTGTTAGCCGTGCTTTAAAATGTAACTAACTTTTCTTAAAGTGTAGCCACAAACGTATTTTCATAAGCAGTTGCCTTTTCAGCACACTTCACAGAGTTTCAAATCAAATTCAAATTACGTATACGTAATTTTCTCAAAAATTAAAAATGAACACACTCTACTTTTTCTCTCAGTGCGCTCTGTTGTGTGGTCGCCCACTTTTAGGTCTACTTTTTTTTTGTATTTATTTTTTTTTGCTGCCTTTTGTTGTTGTTTTCGTTTCTGTCGTCTGTCCTTGTTTCAATGTTTCTGTCGCAACATAATTTCCCACTGCCGCCGAGAGCACCGCCTAATGTGCAGCACTTAGAGGACGGGCGGTGGGAGGGGGGCGGAAACGCTGGGCGTAGATCAGCAACAGACGCGGGCATAAATAACGAAACATGTGTGTGTGTGTGTGTGCGAGTGTGTGTGTGTGTGTGTGTGTGCCGGCACTCTTTGCCAATTGCCGCCAGAGACAAAGGCAAATAGAGTCCACGGCGCACACGTTGCGTATGTGCAATATTTTGAGTAAATTTATGTTGCACTTCGCGCGACTTCAGTTTTATTATCATCCACGTTGTCGTTGCGAAACAATTTTCTTTCCTTCTTTTTCTAAATATACAAAAACATAAGAACAACAAGCAGAAAGGAAAGACAAAGACCGAAGATTAAATACTCTTGTGGATATGTGAGGCGCATTGCAAAGGTCTTAATTGCTGAGTTCTGGTTCTGGAAGATATGTTGACGAAAAGAATGCTTTGTCATACAAGAAACTTATATTGCGAATATAACTTATATAGATATACAAAGCTGTATAGATATAGTAAACCGATGTCTATAATATATGGCTGATTTATATTGAAAATCTTGAATGCAGAGCTTAGTTAAGATTGAAAGATTCAGGACATAAATTGGGAGGGATTGTTCCTTTGGTAACTATATGCTAATATATTCTATAAGCTATATGATATAGTTGCCTGATCCAGCTGACTATTGATATATATATTGTCCGCAGCAAGAAAACTAATGAGAGATCAGTTTGCAGAGAAAGAGACAGTCCGAAAGAATAAGACGAGCATAGGGAAACTTCTATTGACGGAGATCCATAATATATATGCTTTATAGGGTCAGAGATGTTTGCTTCTATGCGTTACATATTTAATGACATAGTTCAAATACTCTCAGAAAGGGCATAACAACGCACAGTGCGCGCCTCCTTTGGTTGTTATGCTTGTGTGTCTTGTCTCCGCCCTGCCACGCCTGTTGCATTGCCTCTGCCGTACATTTGTTATTGTTGTTGCTGTTGTTGTTGTTGTTGCTGCCTGCCTCTGTATGACGAAAGATTACAAGCGACAACAAAAATAGGCTAAAATTAAAGTAGCTAAATTAATGGCATACTTGCTGTGTTTGTGCCCCCTTTTGCCCCACGCCTCGTCCCGCTCTGCACCGCCCCGCCCGACTCTGCCGGCAGACAGCCAGACAGAGCCAGACAAAGGTGGAATGACTTTTGCCTGGCATTTTGTATTCATGATGCACGATTTAGATATAGACAACAACTCAGTCTACGCCCCGCCAGACCCTTCCCTGCCCCCACTACCAGCCCTTCGCGCAGACCCACAAACATCTCGAGAAACCTGAGCTTCTGTTCGACTCACTAATTGTCTTTGGAGTCGCGCCCAAAGAGCAGCTGACAGACAGACAGTTAAACTGACAGTCAAACTGACAGACAGATCGACCGACAGTCAGACAGTCTGACATTCAGTTGGATGGACAATTTGACTGCTGCTTTTAATATGTGGCATGATCATCGCTGGCATTTCGTTTTGTTGCGCCCCAAAACGTGGCAGAGACAGATTGTTGCACAGCCAAGCTGGGCACAAGAGAAGGGATGGGAGGGAGGGGGGTAGTGAGCGGGTGCCACATCAACATGCAATTTTAATAAAACGTTAAGTTGATCTGCAAATATGCAGCACAATTTAAGGCCCAAGCCGCGGCAGCTTGCAATTCCAGCCTCAGCTCCATCTTTTCAGTTCGCAGTTTTATCTTAAAGTTCCTTTTTGTATAGATAAATTTTCTATTTCCCAAGATATCTTTATCAAATTCTGCTCAGATATGTGCAAAGATATCACATGCACTCATCAGTCCAAAAGAGTATTCAATATTCGGTGTGCCGCAAATGCTGTTGTTCTTTCTTGTTTTTGTTTTCTTATTGAAATTCCTGGCGTATGAAACAGCAGCAGACAGCCCCGTCATCATCATCATCATCAGCGACCTCATCATCATCATCATCTTCATTATAATCATCATCTTCATCATCATCTTCATTATAATCATCATTTACACTGGCAAATGTTATTGTCTCCAGCACCCCCCCAGCCCGACAGTTTATTCTTCCTTCTCCTCCTCCTCCTCCTCCCCCTCCTCTTTCTCCTTCTCCTTCTCCTCATTCTCCTTCTCCTCTTCACAATTAGGCTGCGCTGAGTGCGGCTACTGTTTCGTTACGTTTCGTTGTTGATCTCCTTTTCGTTTGTTGTTGTTGTCTGGCTTTCTGTGTTTGTTGTTTCTGCTGTCTGTTGTTGTTTTGTGTTTTTGTTTTTTGTTTTCTTGCAATTTATTTGATTGCCTCTTCATTTGCCCACTCCCTGCTCTCCTCCTCTCCCCGCCAGCTTCTGTCTTCTTTTTCCTTTTTTTATCACGTCACGGGCTCCTGCTTCTGGGATCAACGTTAAGTTGCAATTTATGTGCGATCATAAAAACTCGCTCAGACCCATAATTAATAAGAGTACATCCAAAAAAAAAAGCCATACCATAAAGTGCTGACAAGTGCTACGAACTCCAAAACTTTTGGCCGCACAGTGTGTCGCAAACAATTTGCACTGGGTAGATTTTATTGGGCGTACTTTCGTGTATTTCAACTAATCCAACTTGACCGGAAATACCATATTTTTGCACGTTATAAAAGAAAAACATAAAAAGAAGGACAGAAAGAAAGCCTCGCACAACAACAAATACATTTGGCCATAGGCGTTTTTAGCCAATTCAGAAAAAACATTCCAGTTTATTTTTAAACAAGTCGCTAAATTCTTTCATTTATTTCGGTAACAAAAATGAAACGGACGCTAACACAGGAATTTGCATGAGTGCAAGGGAGAGGGGCGACAATAAAGGGTATCCAAAAACAAAAAAACAACAACAACAACAAGAAGAAGAAAATAATGAAATAAGAAATGTGCAACGTGCAGCAACGATAACAGAATGTTATCGATAACAGCGTGGCATTTGTTAGTTGAGCATAGATACCAGATAATACAAGTTGTGTTTTGTGTTCGAATGCCCTAACTTTGGGCATATGCATATATTGGCCAAGTTTGCATAGTAAAAACATTTGGGGCTTCTTTGGGAGATCTTTCTTCTCCAACTTATAAATCTTTTCTCTAGAAGAAAACTTAAGTCTTTCTTTCATAACCTCAAACAACTATATTATCAAGCTGCTGTAGAGACAGTTGGAATATTATGTTATCTGTCTAGAGGAAATGCTTTTCAAATTGTTTTATTACAAAACTTTTCTTGAATATATAAAATAGGGAAATTCGTAAAGTAATAAATATGTTAAGGAACAAACATATTTTTTAACCTATAAAATTTTGCTCAAAACTTTATTGCAAAAACATAACCTCAACCAGCTCTAGTCTTGTTATTGTAAAAGCGAATTTCGTAATATGTTAGAGCATTAACACTTCGGCTTGCCGTAGTTAGTCTTATACTCTAGTTGTATTTGTAGTTGTGTGCGCATACCAAAGTCGAACGCCAATTTGACATTGAGCAAACGTAAATTCAGTGAATTCCTGCGTAAATCGATGGAAAACCACGAGACCGCAATGGCCCGCCGCAGGCGCATGCGACGAAAAGGACCGAACCCAAAAGCAAAATAAAGCAGAAACAAAAAGATAAGTATCGAAACGAAACGAAACGAAATGAACGAAAAGAAAAACCAAGACCGCACCGAACCGTGCCGAACCGAACCGAACCGAACCGAACGAAACGAACCGAACCAGGCCCCCGGGGGCCAGCCGAGAGCGCTAATCAAGCGGTTGGGAGAGAGCGCCGCCGGAGACGAGGAAGAATTTCACACATGACAGCGAAGAATGCGCCGGGCGGTGGCTCCGATGAGGCGTCTAGTTGGATGCCAATTGGAATTTTCAAATTCAACTGGAACTGCACAAACACACACACACACGGACACGCACGCACGCACTGAAATTCACTCAAGGCACACACACACACACACACGCACACCGACGCGCTGCAACAGTTAGTTTGCGTGTTTATTTCGCGAGCGCACAAAAATAAATATTGAAAAGAACTGATTATGAATGAGAAATTTATATATATACATATATATATATATATATAAATATCTATATGTATTTTAGGTATATGTGGGCGTGCGAGTGGGCGTTGGGCGTGGGGCACGCGTTTCGTTTCGTTTCGCCTGGTTTTGTTTCGTCTACCGTTATTTAGCCCAATTGCAGTCTGCACTTCGCTGCGCTGCGATCTTTACGCAAACCTGCGCCGTACTGAACACAACTTTTGCAGCTAACATAAAAAGTGCCCGCTTGTCTCCAATATTTCACACGACGGCAACAGCATATAGACACATTATGTATATATAGGTATAGAACACGATCCGTAGGGGGAGGGGATTTGGGGGTGGGGGGGAGGTTGCGAAGCCGACGACAACGACAGCGACGGGCGTGCGTCGTGCCTTGCTTTTATTTTGCGTGAACAAAAATTATTTTCGTACTTAAAAATAAATTGAAAAGCATTTTCCTCATCTGTTTCGCCCTCTCTCTCTCGTTCGCTCGCTCTCTTTCTCTCTCTCTCTCTCCGTCACACAACAACAGCCACATGAAAATCAAGCGTGAAGCGTGCTACAGCCACGCCTAACAGACGCCGCCCATCCGTCCCGGTCTCGATGTAAGGGCTCCTATTCTAACCCCTTGGCTCTTCGCATGTTTCCCGGTTGGGGAGGAGGCCCGTTCATTATGGCTATCAAAGTTTTGTTGTAAAATCTCTTCCTCTCCCTCTCCCTACCTCTCGCTGTGGCTCTCCCGTAGGCAGCCGCAATCCAAAAATACAAAACGCAGACCCAAAAGACAACAGAACATCATTTTTGTGTTCTAGCAGCAGATCTGCCGAGATAAACATATATATATATATATATATATATATATATATATATATATATATACATAAATATATATATATATATATATATATATATATATATATATATATATATATATATATATATATATATATATATATATATATATATACACATGCATATATAGAGAGGCACGGGGAGTGCGGGGGGGTTGGGAAGGGAGTCGCTTATGACTCTTGTTGGATTCCAGGCTATTTTCGTGTTGCACAGTCAGGCAAAAGTCTGTAAAATACGAAAATTTGAAAATGAAGTCACGTGAAAATTTTGTGCATGTGAAATTGCATGAATTAAGCTGAGAGAGTGAAAAAAAAGCAACTGCACTATGAAATCCACTCAGACAAAAGTCCTTAGACTTGCGCCTTTTTGGGCGAAATAGGCAGACGGCGACGCTGCAGCCGGGTGCCGTAGGAGCCGACATTGCCGGCGCCTAAACCAAAATCAGGAAGCTGCCACGGCAAAACTGACGCCGGAAGGAGCCAGAGACGCGCCACACGGCGATGAGCACGAGATGCTGGAGGTGGAAGGGGGAGGAGGAGGAGGAGGAGGAGGCGGAGTATGATGTTGGCAATGGATGGCCAAGAACAATGCCCACGTCGAGATGATGCTGATGCTGCTGCTGCTGCTGCTGATGATGATGATGAAGAGGCTGATGATGATGATGAAGAGGCTGATGATGGAGTTGGTGTGCAATAATTACAACAAGAAAAGCTGCACTTTATGCAACAACAGCAACAGCAAAAAAAAAAAAAAAAAACAAGAAATGCAATCAGCAGAACTAAAAACACAAGCTAGCCTAGAAAAATATACGACTATTGAATACCCTGTACCCAGCTTTGGGAGACAATTAGACTGAAGCAGCTGACGTAATCTAAGCAATCGATTGAAAATCTCGGCAGAGATTGGACTATTCTTTTCATTTGCCAACAACAAAATGAAGAAGTAGCTAACTATCTAGAAAGAAAGAAAGAAGCTGAAGACTTACAGTGTTTTAGAGGAGTATAAAGAGAAGTTAAAAACCTGCAGAAACAAAGCAATTGGATTTTATAAGTCTTATTAAAATATGAACCATCTGATAAGAACAAACATTAGCCAAGATAATCATTGCATGCTGCATGAGGAAATGAGTTCTGGTTATACTCAGTAGCTTGGCCAAGACTCGGACTGCCGTTGAAATTAAATTCACACCATTTGCCAATTGGCCAATTCGTAAAGTCGAGTGCAAAACGAGGCGACAAAGTTATTTAGCACTTAATGCAATTGGAACAGTGGGCGTTGACCGGCAACACATCCTTCCGATTGTTGAGCAGGGGCAGGGGCAGGCCCAGAGACTGGGACTGCAGCTTGCCTCAACAGTTGACCACGTTGCAACGGTTTATGGTTTCCGCCAGCAAAGTGAGCAATTTTCCGAGCTGGCCAGCTGACAGTCGACGGTTGGTTCGGTGCCCAGACATGGATGGTTACTACATGATTAGACGAGGTGTGGTCAGACAAGGAAGGGTACGGGGGGGGCGCTCGAGGGAGGAAGCGAGGTGCAGCTTGGCGCCAGACGACTTCCTTGTGCGGCAGGTGCTGCTGCCAGCCTTGCAACATATTGATTGAAATTTAAAATGCAAATCACTTAAAGCGTTCAATTTAATTAAATTATTACCACAACATTGTTGTAGCATCAACTAACTAAAAGGAGGGCCAGCTGTGGGGCTGGCTTAGCTGAGGCTAAGCATTCAACTGAAGCCCGTTAGACGAACAACAAAAACAACAACAAGAATGACAACAACAATAACAACAACAACAATGGCACATTAATGCTGACGACAGCAAGTCATTTTTTACAATGCCTACACTCAGAGAAATTTTCAAGAGTTTGAGCTTAAAATTGACACCTGGGTCAACATTTCCCATTCACATAACTCGGTCAAAACTCAACCGATTTCCGCGGGGCTTGTCTTTTTCTTCATGGTTTTCCCTCTTAATTAATCTGGCATTTGAATCTCATCACCGATTTTTTAGTCGAAATTCATGTCAAAATCGTGCCTCTAGGATTCGTGTATAGACCTGGGTCAAAATTTCCCGGGTACATAACTCGGTCAAAACTCAACCGATTTTCGCGGGGCTTGTCTTTTTCTTCATGGTTTTCCCTCTAAAATAATCTGGCATTTAAATCTCATCACCGATTTTTTAGTCGAAATTCATGTCAAAATCATGCCTCTAGGATTCGTATATAGACATGGGTCAATATTTCCCATGTGGATAACTCGGTCAAAACTCAACCGATTTTCGCGAGGCTTGTCTTTTTCTTCATGGTTTTCCCTCTAAAATAATCTGGCATTTAAATCTCATCACCGATTTTTTAGTCGAAATTCATGTCAAAATCGTGCCTCTAGGATTCGTGTATAGACCTGGGTCAAAATTTCCCGGGTACATAACTCGGTCAAAACTCAACCGATTTTCGCGGGGCTTGTCTTTTTCTTCATGGTTTTCCCTCTAAAATAATCTGGCATTTAAATCTCATCACCGATTTTTTAGTCGAAATTCATGTCAAAATCGTGCCTCTAGGATTCGTGTATAGACCTGGGTCAAAATTTCCCGGGTACATAACTCGGTCAAAACTCAACCGATTTTCGCGGGGCTTGTCTTTTTCTTCATGGTTTTCCCTCTAAAATAATCTGGCATTTAAATCTCATCACCGATTTTTTAGTCGAAATTCATGTCAAAATCGTGCCTCTAGGATTCGTGTATAGACCTGGGTCAAAATTTCCCGGGTACATAACTCGGTCAAAACTCAACCGATTTTCGCGGGGCTTGTCTTTTTCTTCATGGTTTTCCCTCTAAAATAATCTGGCATTTAAATCTCATCACCGATTTTTTAGTCGAAATTCATGTCAAAATCATGCCTCTAGGATTCGTATATAGACATGGGTCAATATTTCCCATGTGGATAACTCGGTCAAAACTCAACCGATTTTCGCGAGGCTTGTCTTTTTCTTCATGGTTATCCCTCTTAATTAATCTGGCATTTAAATCTCATCACCGATTTTTTAGTCGAAATTCATGTCAAAATCGTGCTGCTAGGATTCGTATATAGACCTGGGTCAATATTTCCCATGTGGATAACTCGGTCAAAACTCAACCGATTTTCGCGAGGCTTGTCTTTTTCTTCATGGTTTTCCCTCTAAAATAATCTGGCATTTAAATCTCATCACCGATATTTTAGTCGAAATTCATGTCAAAATCGTGCCTCTAGGATTCGTATATAGACATGGGTCAATATTTCCCATGTGGATAACTCGGTCAAAACTCAACCGATTTTCGCGAGGCTTGACTTTTTCTCCATGGTTTTCCCTCTAAAATAATCTGGCATTTAAATCTCATCACCGATTTTTAGTCGAAATTCATGTCAAATTCTTACCCTGTAGATTCATATATTGACATGGATCAAAATTTCGCTGGTACATAGCTCGGTCAAAACTCAACCGATTTCCGCGAGGCTTGACTTTTTCTTCATGGTTTTCCCTCTAAAATAATCTGGCATTTAAATCTCATCACCGATTTTTTAGTCGAAATTCATGTCAAAATCGTGCCTCTAGGATTCGTGTATAGACCTGGGTCAAAATTTCCCGGGTACATAACTCGGTCAAAACTCAACCGATTTTCGCGGGGCTTGTCTTTTTCTTCATGGTTTTCCCTCTAAAATAATCTGGCATTTAAATCTCATCACCGATTTTTTAGTCGAAATTCATGTCAAAATCATGCCTCTAGGATTCGTATATAGACATGGGTCAAAATTTCCCGGGTAATTAACTCGGTCAAAACTCAACCGATTTTCGCGAGGCTTGTCTTTTTCTTCATGGTTATCCCTCTTAATTAATCTGGCATTTAAATCTCATCACCGATTTTTTAGTCGAAATTCATGTCAAAATCGTGCCTCTAGGATTCGTGTATAGACCTGGGTCAAAATTTCCCGGGTACATAACTCGGTCAAAACTCAACCGATTTTCGCGGGGCTTGTCTTTTTCTTCATGGTTTTCCCTCTAAAATAATCTGGCATTTAAATCTCATCACCGATTTTTTAGTCGAAATTCATGTCAAAATCATGCCTCTAGGATTCGTATATAGACATGGGTCAATATTTCCCATGTGGATAACTCGGTCAAAACTCAACCGATTTTCGCGAGGCTTGTCTTTTTCTTCATGGTTATCCCTCTTAATTAATCTGGCATTTAAATCTCATCACCGATTTTTTAGTCGAAATTCATGTCAAAATCGTGCTCCTAGGATTCGTATATAGACCTGGGTCAATATTTCCCATGTGGATAACTCGGTCAAAACTCAACCGATTTTCGCGAGGCTTGTCTTTTTCTTCATGGTTTTCCCTCTAAAATAATCTGGCATTTAAATCTCATCACCGATATTTTAGTCGAAATTCATGTCAAAATCGTGCCTCTAGGATTCGTATATAGACATGGGTCAATATTTCCCATGTGGATAACTCGGTCAAAACTCAACCGATTTTCGCGAGGCTTGACTTTTTCTCCATGGTTTTCCCTCTAAAATAATCTGGCATTTAAATCTCATCACCGATTTTTAGTCGAAATTCATGTCAAATTCTTACCCTGTAGATTCATATATTGACATGGATCAAAATTTCGCTGGTACATAGCTCGGTCAAAACTCAACCGATTTTCGCGAGGCTTGACTTTTTCTCCATGGTTTTCCCTCTAAAATAATCTGGCATTTAAATCTCATCACCGATTTTTAGTCGAAATTCATGTCAAATTCTTACCCTGTAGATTCATATATTGACATGGATCAAAATTTCGCTGGTACATAGCTCGGTCAAAACTCAACCGATTTCCGCGAGGCTTGACTTTTTCTTCATGGTTTTCCCTCTAAAATAATCTGGCATTTAAATCTCATCACCGATTTTTGAGTCGAAATTCATCTGCGTATGGTATAAAAATGTATAAAAAGTATTAAGAGATTTGAATGCGATATATTTAGTTTAAATAAGAAATAATATTAAATAATTATACTCAACACGAAATGCATTTCAACTTAGATTCATATGCGAATATCGTATACAGTTTTTCGCTCAGTGCACTTTTGCGGTCAGTTGCAGTTGCAGCTGGTGCCCAGCCACGTCCCGCACCGCCTTTCGCCCGCCCCAATGCACTTGCAGCAAGCGCAACGCTTGTGTCTATCCGCGTGTTGCGGTGCCTTTGGCCCTGCCTCATAATGATGTTGCCTGGGCTAATACTGCTTGTGCCCTCCCCATCTGCCCCTTGCCTGCCACATTGTTGGTTTTGTTGGCTTAATTAAATTGTGGTTGCCACTTGCAAACGAAGCGCGTACACAAAATCACACACAACAACACACATTGCAACAATGCAACAGACACTGTTGCACGTTCCGTTTCGCTTCTCTTTGTTGTTCTTGTTGTGGTTGGGCTTTTACTGAGTGGGGGCGGGGCGAAAAGTGGAAAGTGTTCAAAAAGTGCGTGGCCAACAATAACATTAAAATTATAACCGCAATTTTGCACGCACCACTAAATAAATTGGCAGCTCAACTAACTGCGGGAATACCCCTACTTAACTCTAAAAATCATTTGTCAACTCGCATTTAGCAGAGTTCCACAAAACCAAATATAAATTGACAGGCGCATCTGAAAAAAAGGTTGAGTTCTAAGTACCAATAATGTGGCAGAGGCAAGTTCTTTGCACTGAAAGCAAATGAGGGTTGGGAATACTCTGCTGCAACTAAATCAAATACATGGACATTATAAGCTTATAAGATTTTTTTAAATTTTTTTAACTTGAAAATAGATACAAAGTGGTAGAATAAGAGAAGGCAGCATCTCAATATAGATTTAAATAAAAATTAACTTGTATTTTTAATTTTCAGAATAAACTCCGGGAACTTATTGATCAATAGCCGAGTCGATCTAGCCATGCATATCATCTGTCTATCGTTTCGTTTGACTGTCCGTCCGTCTGTCTGTCTGTCTGTGTATCCGTATGTACGAAAGCGTCTATCTTAGAACCTTGAACCTTGAAGAGCTAGATTCGCCTAGTGCTTGCGCAGTACGAGTTTCTCTTCGACAATCGATAACTTGCCCCGTTTCCAAGTAATCGATATAAATGTATATCGAAATCTGTTTTTTTTTTAGTAATTCTCTTAGGTTTTAGGATCTAGAGCTAAAATAGTATCAACAGATCAAGTATCTTTTATTTAATAGTTACCTGACCCCGCCTTAAGCTTCTTACTTGTTTTAATATATTATGTTAAGTTTTATTGCCTTATTTTTTTATACTCAAATTTTAACACATTTATCTACTTTTTTTCAGCTTGCAACATCATGTGAATAAATAGTGAAAAAGTGTTTAAAACTCGGGTAAGTCAATCCATGCTTAATATTTTTTATCAAAAATTAATTAAGCTGGCAATAACTTAAGTCAATTTCAATTTTTCGCTTCTTTGCTGCACTTAAAAAAGCTGAAAAGCCCCAAGCTATCGTCTACAAATTTTATTAATTTACAATTTTCAAGGCTTTTAAGTAATACAAAGTTCTTCTGTACTTAAAACTAGAACAGAAAAAAACTTAAACTAATATTTCCAGCTAATTTTCATTTATTTTCCATTCTTTTTTTGTATCCAATGCTCATGTTTTTTTAAATAGTTTTCTTTACCTCTGTATGTAGCCTTAGCTACTTTATTTAAGTTAATTTGCTTAACTTAAGACTTTAGTAGCTGCGTTTAATATTTTATTGAAGTCTTTCTCATGCGAACACAACTTTTTCGCATAAGAACTGCAACTTTGAGCGTCTCGACTGCGCTTTCAGGAAGCTGCAGCATATGACACGAGTGTGCATTAGGATGCGTTCCGCCCTGTGGCAACTACTCCACCCCGCCCCTTTCCCCATCTCTGGCCATCTCTCGCTCAGATTTGTCAATGCGTGAGCGCCGCGGTTTATTGTTCATTTGTCCTTTGAAAGGACACAATTCAATGGGGTACAAAAGTGCGCCAAGTTGCTGACGGGCAGCACAGTTAAAAGCCAGAGAAGCCAACTAGCATTGAGGTAATACCCCCCCGGCTGCGGCTCCGCCTGCCGCCCCTCCACTCTGCAGCTGCCACTGATAAGAGTTGCAGCTTCCACTTTGACCTTAGAATGTCCGTTGCTGCAGCTGCAACTCCCGCTTAATTTGTGGACAAAGAGAGGAGCCACAATGCAATTCAATTGTAGAGCTCGACGTGTGAACAGGGGCTGGGTGGGTGACAGGGGCCGTGGCGGGAGGTAGGGACTGTTGCTATCACGTTGCCATTTAAGTTGATTTCCTTTTCTTTTTTTTTTTTTTTGGGTATGAGCATAAAATTCAATCAGCTTGAGCTGCATTCAAAAGTTACGAGCTGGCCCCCCTGGCCACAGCTTTCCGCCTCCTCCCCACCCTCCAGGCACCCGGCACTGGCGCAGACAGCCACGTTTGTCCTTAGATTGTCCTCTGGCAGCAGCAGCAGACCTTGTCTCGCCTGTCTAGACCGCTGCAGGGGTCGTCGCTGCAGTCATGGCAACCGCATGCGATTTATGCTCTTGTCCCTTGCTGTCTGCACCAGCCCCCCCCCCCCCCCCCCTCCACCTCTCCGCTTTACTCTCACGCTCCTCTCTGAAATTGTTGCCACTTTTATGTGCCACAAGCGACGCGTTAATATTATTAAATGCAAATTAAGCTTTATCTCATTTCGTTCATTAGCGGCCAATTTGCGCGTCCTTGTTTATTTGGGCGGCATTTGGATTTGCCACGCCCATGCAACCTTTAAGCTGTGGCTTGATTAGCACCGCTGCAATTAACCAAGCAGCCAGACTCACTGCATCATTTGTGGCTGCATTCCAATGCGGCTGCTCCTGCGTCTTCTCCTGCTCCAGCTCCAGCTGCGTCTCCAGCTGGAGGCGTGTTTTCACTTCCTGGCAACGGCTAATTTGCAAACCAATTAAATGTCAATTTGAGGCATTGTTCCCATTCGCCGCGTCGTCACAATGTCTGCCGTGTCAGCGCGTTAAACTTTTCGCCCCAGACCCGGAGACGCGCGGCTCAAAAGCGCGACTCGCAACTCGCAAGGCACAAAATCTATTGTCGCCGCTTCGGCTGCATTGTTGTCCGTATACCCTGTAGTCAATTGGTGAAAACAGGGTATATTGCAGTTCCGTACATTTTTATGACAAACGAATGAGTTTATTTCCCTGCCTAGAAAGTATCCTGAACACAAATCAAAGTCGTGATCATCCTTGCAATAAATAACTTCACTTTCACCAATATCGATAAATATCGATTTTCAAGGAGGGTATACTGCAGTTATTCAAATACTTGGGACAATCAGAAGAGGGCATCATCATGCGCTTAAAATATAGCAAAAAGCATGCCATAAACGTGATCGTCTTTGCAATACAAGGCCAGTTTTAAGGTCCTAAAATGGATAAAAATATATACAAAGAAGTTCTTCAAGAAGTTGTTTTTCAAAATGTGTGACTAAGGGCAAAAAGAACCAGGGATATAGACAGACAGGGTATCCACTAGTCGGGCACGCCCGCCAGGCATACTCACACTTGTTTTTGCTGGCAGCGCCAAAGTTTTGCCCGGCGTCAAAGTTTTTACTGGCTGTCTAGACGCGACTCCAGTCGACTCCTATGTAGACTTCGACTTCGACTTCGACTGCGACTTTAGTTGTATTTGGTCGCGTAGTTTGCATAAGTTTCAGCCGCCTATCCGCACTGCTCGCTCAGCTGCCTCTGCTCCAGCCGTCTCGATCGTGGTTTGAGCCGCGTTGCTTAAGTGCATTTTAATGCCTCAACTTGGCCAAAAGGGCGTGATTGAATTCCGGTACACGTTGGGCGCGAGCTCTTTTTAAATGTATCGCACGTGGCGTATGCGTAACATTTGCTTGACAACAAAGCCAGGCTCGAGTACAGTGAAGTCTCCACATATTCGCTAGATTGAGTGCTTAAAGCTTTTCACCCAGTGTCCAAATGTTTCACAGTTTCGCAGTTCCACAAACTTTTTAACTACTTTCAATTAAAATAAAAGCTTTAATAGAAAAGCTTTTAGAGTGCATGGATTCTCTAATGGATTCCTTTACACAAGTTTTTAAAACGAATTTGTAAGCACATAAAAGCTTTAAATTTAGTTAGTTGTATTCTTCTTTAAGCTACTCTAATGGAACAGACGTGAAAACACTTTAATATAAATCAGCTGACTTTCTTATTGGAGCTTTAGACCGAAAGGTCAAGGGTCATCTTAAAAGCTTTCAACCCTAATTGACTGGCAGAACTTTAAGCCTAAATAATGACACCTAAAATCTCCAACTTGCATTATTAAATATTTGGAAAGCTTTGAAAGCTTTCAGCTTAAAACAAGTTGAACTACGCTCAAGAACTCGGAAGCTTTTGTTTACTGAATCCTAAAGCTTCATTGCCACTTTTAGCTAATGTCATTGCAACTCAAGCTTCAATATTTGACGTCGATTTTAAAAGCTAAACAATTTCCATCAGTCACATTATTTATGTCCATTTGGCTGGTACTGTGCACATTTTCTATGCAAATGCGGCCGACAAATGCCCAAAAGGCACGCCCACAACCGCAGCAGGAAAACGGATGCCAAAAAAAAAAGAAACTAAATCTTTTTTTATGCAAATACAAGAGAGAAACCCACAGGAGGCAAAGAAAAAAAAGTGCATTGGAATATGGCTGCAGGATACTTTTAGCCACAGACACGGACACGAACCCACACAGTCAGAGGGGGAAGAGGGGTTGCCGGGGCACCTCATCGGCCGAGTTGGGCAATGAGTTTTTGAGCTAAAAGTTGAATTGTGCAACAAACAGACTCTCGTTCGGTCCGTCTCTCACCGGCCCTTCCACCCTTACCCACTCGCTGTGTGTGTTCGTTTTCGACTGTCTGTGTGGTATGCACTTGTCTAGACGTTGGCTAGACAGTGTAAAACCAAAAAAAAAAAAAAAAGAGCACAAAAAAAAAGAAAAATAACAGAAATACAAGCGAACAACAATTACAGCAAAAATGCCAGCGACAAAACGAAACGAAACGAATTGCAGCACATTTGCCATATAGCGAGTGTGCACCGTACCCGTGCCCGACCCCGAGCCCGTATCCGTATCCGTATCCACTGTGGACCTGGACAGCGACAAATTTCTGGACAAATTTCGCACACAAAGCCAGAGCTGCTCACTTTTAAAAACTAGCTGAATTCAAGAGAGAACGGCTAATCAAATATCCTTCTCGAGATATGGAAAATAGGCTTGATATGTCAAGCTCCTAATTCCTGAGTTTCGACCGATTCTTCCAATAGGCCTATATGATAGAATAGGATTTCAAAAAAACATAAGAAGGTTAGGGAAAATACAAAGTTGAAAAAACAAAACAATTAGCCAGAAAAGAATTTAACGATCCTAACTATAGATCTATATGAGAGAACACATTGAATGTGGATAATATATAGAAGGATTTGGGAAACTAAAAAATGGTGGGTCAGAAAAATGTTTTAAACCTAAACAAAATTTGTCCATCGATTCTTCCTATAGATCTTTATGATATATCAGTCCAAATATTTACAATATATGGCTTACATATCATGATCAAGTTATCTTGATAAACATTTCCATGCCAGCTATATAATATAGTACTCTGATTCGGCTGAGTCCGACATTTGTACTGCCTGCAACAGAAAGACGAATCTATTTAGCTGGGAGACTGAGACTTTGCCAGAATCAGACTAGGTAGCTTATCTAGAAAATATATATATATATATCTTATGGGCTAGGAGATATCTTCTGCTATGCTTTTCAGCTGATAGATCTGGATTATATATACATCATAAAGTCGGAGCTATTTTAATCTATGCTTTACACAATTTTCTTGACAAAATTTGAATATGTTGCTCAATTCGCTTTTCAGGCATAGATTGACAATAAATAAAGTAGTCTGACTTTGTCATTCGCATGCGAAAAACTAGCTATTTAGCTAGAAAGTAGCTGAATGCGCAACACTGTACAAAAGGCAAAGGCGAAACAGAAGTGTGCTTAAAACTCAGTTTATTAACATGAAGAACAACAGTTTTTCTATTCTTTCGCATTTACAACTTAACTAGAGACTACTGTAGGGCGTGTGCTTTACGCGACGCCGAACTTCTTGCGCTGATAGGGCGGCGGCAGCGGTGCCAGCAGATTCTTGGTCTGCACGCCGATGGTGACCAGCTCCTTGGCGCCTAGGCGGCACACCTGCAACAGATGCTGCAAGAAAGCGAAGTTCAAGATTTAATAAGCTGCAGGTAGCGAAAATTGTTTAATAATCAATTTACCTGACGATTGAATCGCACCTTGAGGCGATAGCTCTTCAGTTTGGCTGTCTCGCGCGCATCGCTGGCCGACTTGCTCAGCCGCTTGGCCTTTGTCTGGGGCGCGTGCAGCGTGTGCTCCTCCGGCTGATAACTCTCCAGCACATACAGATGCACCTCATCATAGACCATAACTATGTTGGGGTTTTGTGCATCCAGCATTAGGCCGCGAATGCTGTGCAAGTGCGCATTGGGCACAAAATGCTCAGCGGTCTCGCATACAAAGCGACGCTCCTGCAGATCATAGTCCACAATACGTCCATCCGCGTAGGCAACCACCAGACGCGAGCTGTTCTCGTGCATGGCCAGCGCCGTGGTGCCAGCTTTATAGCGCGGCAAATTGAGCAAATGCTTGGCCTTCTTGCCGCGCAGCTGCCAAACGGCAATCAAATGATTTGTGGCAGCCACCACCAGATATTTGCCACACGGCGACACCTCCACCAGGCTAATTGGCGTCTTAATCTCAGGACTCAAATCCTGACTGTATAGGAAATTCACCTGCTGCTCATCCAGACTAAAACAGCGCAACTGTCGACTGGAGCCGTGTATCAGCCACAGCTGCTGCTGCTGCTGCTGCGGCTGCTGCTGTGTCTTGAAGAAGCCAATAAAACTGGCTGGCTCCAGTTCGGCAGGCAAATCCGTTGTCAGCCGCTGCAAGCCCAGCGGCTCGTGCTGCACTCGACTCAGGCGCAGCTCCTGGGCCGTGGAATAGCATATCCAGTTGCCGTCCGGCGAAATGGCCGCAGCCTGTATAAACTTGTGGGCGGCAACGTTTAGCTGCAACAGCTTCTCGGGCGTATGATCCAGCTGCAGCTGCTCCGTACTGCCCAGGCCGAGTTGTTGGCGTTCGCCGGGTCGCGGCACGCCCAGACGCCACAGATCCAAGCTCTGTGGATAGCGCAGCAGCAGTAAATTGCCACTGGGCGCCAAGCTGGCGGCTTTGCCCTGCAGATAGGGCGCATATTTGGCGACATAGGCGCTCGTCTTGGTGCTGGACGAGATGCACAACAAGCCATCCTGGCCGCCAGACACAATGCGATCGCCTATGACCAGCAGCGCTTTGACATAATGGCTGTGCACCTCGCGCTGCAGAAACTTAATCCAGCGCTCGCAAACGGAATCCTCGCGCTTGATTTGCGTTTTGCTCAGGACACGTATCAGGGGTGGCTTCATGCCGCTGCACACCAGACGATCCTCCTCCTCGTTGACCGCCAAGGCGAACACATTGCGATCGAGCACCTTGCACGACTCCAGCTGCGTCGCATTCGCGCCATTCCATACGGTCACATAGCCAGCAGAATCGCCGGCAATGATCGTGTTGTCGCTGAGCACCTGCAGCGAATAAACAATCACATTCCGGTCGGACAGTGTCATCGTGTGCAGTGTATGGCCCTTGGCCACGCTCCAGATGCGCACAGCACCCATTGTGCCGGTGACCAGACGCTTGCCCGGCTTGTCGAACTTGCAGCAAAGCACACGTCCATCTTGCTTGCTGAACAACAGCTTGTAGTTGATCTCGTCCTGCTCAATGCTCATGATGTTGATGTGTCCCTCTTCGGAGCCGACAGCCAGCTCCGTTTCGGCGCTGTTCACGTCCAGGCACCACAGTGCATTGCCAGTGGGTGACTGTTCGCGACGTGGTTGCAGCGTAGTCAAGTCCCATTCGATCAGTTTGCCCGTCAGATCCACCGAGAAGAGGCGCTTGCTCGCCCAGGCCAGGCTCTCCACCTGCGATTCGGGGGTTAGCTGTATGACGCGTTCCAGAAATGGCGCGAAGTGCATGTTCCACAGCTCAATGGAGCCATCCTCGCTGAGAATAAAGCGCAGATAATGGCAATTATTATTATTTCATAACTAAATTAAATTTTCACTCACCGGCTAAGCGCGAGGCATTTGAGCACTTTGCTGTACGCCAAACAGACTATGCCGCGCGGCTTGATTGTATAGAAGCGTACATTGTGCACTTGGGCGGTGCCCCCGGATTTATCGGGCACGTCTGCTTTCATTGTAAAACTTGTTGATATTTTAGTTTTACTTTAAAATATATACATTCGCACGTGCGTCGAGCGCGTTGTGGTGCTTGCTGCTATTGGCGTTGCCAGATCGCGTCAATCGCGATGTAAACAATGCCATTCACAGCACGGGCAAACGATAGTTATTGCTATCGATATGCACAGTGGTTCACACTGCAATAAACTAGGCGACATTTGAATAATTAATTGTGCAAGTGAGTGATTTATATTTCTGTGTGTTTCACACACAATGAAGATAGTATGCTATGCTGCAATGAATCAAACGCTTGCAAAACTGTCAGTTATTGTTAAGCTAGTGCCGGACCATTCACAATATCAATTGCAATCGATATGTGCTGCAATTCACAATTAAACTAGCTCACAATTGAACTAAACAAAAGAATATGGGGGTAGTTTTTTGCGGTTTTTAGAAAAAATTACCAATTGCTAATTTAATTATATTGATGACAATGTGCCAAGTGTAAATAAGCAAACGAGATTATGCAATAACACTAATTGCAATTACCACACACCAGTAACAAGAGCAGCATCAACAACAACAACAACAACATGTACGCATCTTTCTGGAGCTTGTGTCTGGCATTGTTGTTCCTGCTGGTGCTCGGCACACCGGCCATATCGTCGCGTGTCCTGGAGCTGAGCGATCGCTTCATCGACGTACGCCATGAGGGCCAATGGCTGGTCATGTTTTATGCACCGTGGTGCGGCTATTGCAAGAAAACGGAGCCGATCTTTGCGCTCATCGCGCAGGCTCTGCACGCGACCAATGTGCGTGTGGGTCGGCTGGATTGCACCAAATATCCGGCAGCTGCCAGGGAATTCAAGGTGCGCGGCTATCCGACCATAATGTTCATCAAGGGCAACATGGAGTTCGTTTATAATGGGGATCGCAGCAAGGACGAGCTGGTCGACTATGCGCTGCGCATGTCCGGGCCACCGGTGCAGCTGGTCACGCGCACGGACAGCGTGGATATGCTGAAGGGCTCGCACACGATCTTCTTTATGTTTGTGGGGCCGCAGCAGGGCATTGTCTGGGACACATACTATGCCGCCGCCGAGGGCTATCAGGAGCACGGCTTCTTCTATGCGACCAGCGAGGATATTGCCGCACAGCATTTTGATTTCGAGCAATTGCCTGCGGTGATTGTGTATAAGGAGGAACAGCATCATTTCTATCCACACGGTCATGTGGCGCACGAAATGGATCCGAACGATGTCAATGAAACCATTTTCCAGTGGGTCAATGTGGAGCGCTTTACGCTCTTCCCGAAGGTGACGCGTTTCAATATCCATCAGCTGCTCAAGACCAAAAAGTTCCTGGTGCTCGCCGTCGTCCAGGAGGACAAACTCAGTCAGATAGCCACACATGAGCTGGAGTTTCGTGACATGGTCGAGGGCGTTATACGCAAGCATCGTCCGCGCTATCACGATAAATTCCAGTTCGGCTGGGTGAGCACATGCCTAACACAATCCTTGTCACAATGCCTTTTCAACTGCTTTGAATCTCCAAACAGATTGGCGAACCGTCGATAGCACATTCCATTATATTGGACCAATTGCCCACGCCCCATTTGATAGCGTTGAACTCGACGACGCAGCATCATTATCTGCCCGAGGACGATCCGCTGCAGATGACGCCGCAGGCTCTCCACCTATTCCTCGAGTCCATCGGCAATGAGAGCGCCACAGCCTACGGCGGCGACACCTATTTCGTGCGCGTCAATCGGGCGCTCTTCGAGCTGAAGCGTTCCCTGCGCGAGATGTGGCGCGGCAATCCCGTGCTAATGACCGTCATCTTTGGCCTGCCGCTGGGCTTTCTATCGCTGATCATGTACTCGATTTTCTGTGGCGACTGTCTGGTCACCGAGGAGGAGCAGGACGAGGATCACGAGAAGAAGGAGTAAAACTGGCTGCTGCCAAAAATTCATTGCAATCTCGTGCTCTCGCTTCTCACCATGCTCTTTTCGTAATGTACTTTTGCATTAACCCAAAATCTAGTCTTAGTTTAAACGTCATAAACTACATTTTGCTTTTAGAGATTCCGATTCATGATTTCGTGTGCGATGCGAAATTCTTTAACTGTCTGTTTATTTGTTGTGTATCGCCTTGTTTGAGCTTAAACGAATTTAGGAATAATTTCTATTCCGTCTCGCGGAGGGTCGTTCCCTCATTTTGGCGACTTCGCCAAGAGATTTCGAGATTTTGTAGTGGCTTTTAACACTTGCTGAAAGTATTATAACTTTGTCAACAAGTATATTCTGTCTGTTTTTATGTTAACTATTTCCTTATGGTTATCTTTTAAAAACTTTGCAAAGATTCTCCTTTTTGTCAGACGGATCGAACGATTATATTACACAGCTGTTGTCGCTGCTGTTAAAAGTAGAAAATTGAGTTTGTAGACGAGAAACCGAATTGATTTTAGAATTACGAGCTTCACATTGCTAACATATGGCCGAGCGAAGTCTGATCGACTATGGAACAATTGGCAAAACTATGGATTAGATGTTTTATTATGAGATAAAGCTCTTTTTGATTTCCAAGACTCTTTCTCAACTCTTTCATATATGTCTCAGATAGAAACCTAAAGCAATATACATTCATATATGGCAAGCTCTCAGAATTTGTCTGCAAGCATGCATACATATAATTTCAACGACATCCTGAGACATTTCGACATTTTGTTTAGTTTAATAAAGATTAGTTGATAATTTCGTAGAATCTGTAAAGCACGTTTGTTTCGATCTCTATTCGGTTGTGTACAGGGAAAACTTAAGTTAGGTTTCAGTTGATTTTCGATTCCAGCCAAAATCAGCAGCCATAGTCCTCATCGTCATCACTGTCTATGGCTGCACGGCGACGATCGTACTTGACGGTGGATTTACTCTGTGGCATTTGTGCATTGACGCTCTCCAGGATGCTCACGAATTGGGCGTCGTCCAGTTTGCCGCGCACCTGGCCCATTTGGGCCATGCGTATGACCATGTTCTCGAACATTTGCGCCTTTTCCGGCTTGCTCACTTTCAGTGTGTTGACTGCAATGGAGATTGACATTAGCGTGGCTTCACTGTACAGTGGCTGCAGTCAGTTTACTTACGTCGTGCACGTGCCTGTTGGTCGAGCACTTGGGAGAGAATTGAGTGCTTCATTTCCTCCTGGGCGCGCATCTGCTCCTGTTGGGCCTGTTGTTTTTCGGCATCGCTGCCACCGCCGCCGCCCTGCATGAACAATTACAGAGTATATCGATTAGGGCATACCCTTTCCCGCACAGGTGTGCCGTGAGTATGCCGCCACAATAACAACAATAATGAGTCATACAAACAGACACTGCTTGCATAGCATTGCGCATTATGGTTTTGCTCTTTGTGCAGCATCACAACTTTATAATTTATTTTTCATTATATTTAAACTTTTTTTTTTTTGGCTATTTTTGGCATTCGGCAGCGAGCGGCGTTTGCTAAGCACATTGTTTTCTACTTACAAATTGTGCCATACGCTTTGCGCGCAATTCATCCAAATCTCCATCCGACATGTTGTTAAATTTTATGTATTGAAATTTATATATATAAAAAGTTATTTATTATAAAAAATAAATAACCAAAAACTTCGCTGTTCTCCGGTAGGCAGTGTATCGATACAATCGTTTCACTCTGACAAGCCAAGCTAATCTATCGATAGTAGCGCCGCGACAAGTATCGATATATTGCATTGAAAACGCTGAATGGTGCATTAAAAAGAAGAAGAAGCAGATACAGATATAAACAAACAGCTGTGCAGACCAACAATTGAATTGGTGCAGAAGAAATATATTAAATTGTGCATAAGTTTCTTTACAAATTGTTAAAATAAGCTGCGAAATGACTTCGCCACTGGAAAATTTGGAAACGCAACTGGAAATGTTTATCGAGAACGTGCGGCAAATACGCATAATTGTGAGCGATTTTCAGCCGCAGGGTCAAAACGTATTGAATCAGAAAATGTAAGGAAATTTCGCGAATTACCTAGATGTTGCTTTTAATATCCATTTGAATTTGAATTTGGTAAAATACAGCAACAGCCTGGTCACCGGCCTGCAGGAAATTGACAAATTGCGGCCACAGGTGCAGGATGTATATGTGCCCTTCGAGGTCTTCTTTGATTACATTGACCAGGACAAGAACCCGCAGCTGTATACAAAAGACTGCGTGGAAAAGGCGCTGGCCAAGAACGAGGAGGTGAAGGGCAAAATCGAAAGCTTAAAAAAGTTCAAAGCGAATCTGCTGCTGGAATTGTACAAGACATTTCCCACCGAGATGAACAACTATCGAGCCTACAGAAAAGACTCCATCTAAGAACTGCAAATTTTAGTTTTATAAGCCTTAAAGTACTATACACATATAAAAACAAAAAAGAAATAATAAAACATAATTGCTAATCGATTGTATGTACTTAGAAATGCGAATAATGTGTCCTTGTCGCTTTAGAGCCAATATTTACTTTAGTCCTAGCTGACTAAATAATTTACTTTTGTTTAGTTTGGAAATTGTTGAGTTCGACTTAAAACGAAAGGGGTTGCGGAAAGGACTGGAACTGTGTTCTAAACTCAAAACGAGCATTTAGCAAATTTTTTTCCGAAGGCTCCAGTGGCGCAATTGGTTAGCGCACGGTACTTATAATCAGTAACTGTGTATGAGCAATGCCGGGGTTGTGAGTTCGAGCCTCACCTGGAGCAGCAAGCACAATGTGAGTGTTGCGTATTTTTTTTTGATATTTATAAATATTTACATATATATGTATGTGAATGCATAAAAAACCATTGACAATTGCTTTTTTTCGCGCTTGCATTGAATACCAAAATTTATTTTGATTGTTAAATTTAATGCGGCTAGAACTGTTAACTGTTAAGCCGCAGCGTTGCCAGATCGTCGCGCACAGCAGGCCAGCTGTTTATTGTATTTGAGCGCTTGTGTAATTGATAAGAGCTTTGCATTTTAATATTTATCGCAAAATGCGGCGCACGTTTGCCATTTGCCGAACTGGTTTTAGTGGATTAAGGTATGCAAAAACGTTCAAAACGCATGCTGTAACTTATAGTCTGCCGACAGCGCGTCATGCGTCATCGGCCTGCTGGAATTGCCAAAAGCTGGGCAAGCACATGATATGCGCGGAATGCGGCTGCCTTCAGGATGTGGATAATAGCACGGCAAGTAATTGCGTCAACTCGCGGAATGCATATTTAATTGTACCAACTCCCATTAGAACTACTTTACGTTGCTGAATTTTCCCGTCAAGTTTTCGCTGCAAGCACCGGAACTGACGCAGCGCTTCCGGCAGCTGCAGGCGCAAGTGCATCCCGATAAATATAGCAACAAGTGAGTTAACGGTTTCTTATACTATTGGAATTAACTGGCCAAACCAAACGTAGGACCGTGCGCGAGCAAACCAACTCCGCGGACTGGAGCTCGCTGGTCAACAAGGCGTACAAAACGTTGTCGGTGCCATTGGAGCGCGGCCAGTATATGCTGCAGCTGGAGGGCGAGCAGATGCCGCAGGACAATAGCGCGCTGAACGCCACTTTTCTGATGGCCATGATGGAGCGCAATGAGGAGGTGGAGGAGGCGGCAGACAGCGATGCGCTGGACAAGTTAAGTGCACAGTTGAGCCAGGAGCAGGAGGCAAAGGCACAAAAACTGACGGCACAATTCGAGGCAAACGATTTGGCGGCGGTTAAACAAACGCTTGTCGAAATGAAATATTTGCAGAGCATACAGAGCAGCATTAAAAAGAAACAACAACAGCTGATGTCCAGCTGAGCATAAAATATGCAAATCGATTAGTCGATCGCTCAATCGATAGGCACACAAAACAGGAGCAAGAAGAAGCAGCAGCAAAGCAAAAGGTGGCCACTGGCCACGGCGGGCCTCAAAACTCAACCAGCTGGCATCACCGGCAAAGACCTTCATATTTTACTTTTCTTTTTTTTTTCTAAAACCAACGATCGATTCAAGCGAAAAAATGTAATGTGATTAAAGTTGGCATGTGATTGCACCTGCCGATACGGTTGCTGCTTAATTATTGTTGAAGTAATGACTCGCCGTTGTAAGGTATATGGGCGGTAATGTGAAAAAGCGCCCCAACTAGTTTTTGCTAGCCTAGCTCGATCGGGGGGACTTTAAGCGCTTGACGAGGGGATTGTGTTGAGAGTGGGGAACTTAACTCATTGGCCAAAAAAAAAAGATAAAATTCCCCGTATCGTGCACCCTGTACCGTGGGCCAGTGACAAATCGTTGCGCTTGGTGATAATATTATAATCAGCTAACTGTGCGCCCTCCAACGAGTTCACACCCGCACACACTCTCGTAATTTTCACTTACACCTGTCGCCACACGCACACATACTTAGAAACACACACACACACACACACACTTGCGCGAGTCATTTGGCAAATATTTCTAGTGCAAATTGAATTTAAATTGAAAACGCTTCTTGTTTCGCAATGTCAGTGCTACTTAGTTCATCGACTGAGCCGCGCGCACAACTGCGAACTAGCCCAAGTAATAGCAACAGCAATAAACTGATTAAATGTTCAAGAGGATGCACACGCTTTGCCTGTGCCTGGTGCTGCTGCCGCTGCTGCTGCTGCTGCTGGTGAGACCTGCCCAGGCGGATGTTAACGGCACAATATCGCCCATCATTGGGGTGCTGGCCCAAGAGGTCTACCAGGATGGTTTGATTTCAAAGCATTTCAATGCGACCAGCTATATTGCTGCCTCGTATGTTAAATTCGTGGAGGGCGCCGGAGGTCGGGTGGTGCCCATCGGGTAAGTAATGCTTATCAGCGGAGACAGGTGCACTAAATCCAGTGTTTTGATAAGGCGTGATTTGCAGTTTTGACAAATTTGATTAATTTGTTGCCCATCTTCAAAAACAGAATCGGACACAATCGCAGCTACTACGAGGAGCTGCTGCAGAAGATCAATGGGTATGTTGTAGGCGAGCTGCGTTTGTTAATTAACTTGGTTAATTTGCATGGATTTTCTCATAAATAGTCTACTGTTGCCCGGCGGTGCAACCTTTTTCAATGAGACGAATGGCTATGGTGATGCCGGCGAGCATTTGATAGCGATTGCCAGGGAGCTAAACGATAATGGCACCTACTTTCCGGTTTGGGGCACATGTCTTGGCATGGAACTGCTGGTGCTCAAAATGGCCAATGGCACGGAGACGCGCAGCAATTGTCAGGCCATTAACATGGCCCTGCCCCTGGAGATGAAGCAGGGTGAGAGATAGACTATATGGCAATGGAGTATATATCCGACTCAAATTCGTATATCCCACTTCTATTAAGAGACATCTCTTTGGATATTAATGTATTTTGCCTTTCAACTGTTTGATAGACTACAATGAAAGCCGCCTGTTTGGCGGGGCCAGCGAGGAGATCATTACGAAGCTGTCTCAGGAGAATGTCACCTATAACTATCATCGCTATTGCTACAAGGAGCAGAGCTTTTCGCTGCCAGCTCTGAATAACTCTTGGCGCATTATGTCCCTAAATCATGACGTGAATGGCATTGAGTTTGTCTCCACCATTGAACATTTGATCTATCCATTCTATGGCGTACAATTTCATCCAGAGAAAGCGCTCTATGAGTTTGTCAGCAAGGATGTGCCGCACTCTTCCTCGGCCGTGCATAGTGCACAGTATTTTGCGGAATTTTTCATCAACGAGGCGCGTCGGAATACGCATAGCTATGACAATGCCACGGAGCAGGCTCGTTCTCTGATCTATAACTATCAGCCTGAATACACTTCAGTGCTGGGCTCCGGCTATGTGCAGCAATATCTATTTGAGGATCCGGATATAGCAGGCGACGGCGATGATGATGGCCCCTATCCCTACTATCCTTATCCCAATAACAATGGCAACAACGGTGTCGCATCGTGGTCTCTCGGATTTGGCCTAGTTGTTGCGTTAACTTTCAGAGCGTTCGCTGTGATAATGGAGCATAGTTAAGATTAAATGTGTCTAGTGCTTATTTGTGTGCTATACATGTATAAGTATAAAGTGTGTATATAAATGAAGAATAGCCTTTTTTTTCAAATTTATTTTAACTTGTTATCAGTCAAAACTGAACAATAGCTTTTATGCAGTTTTATTTTTAACTTCTTGTTTATCAGTCTATCTAAATTTCGGCGCCACAAGATAAAATTATCTTGAGGCTTAGGGGCTTGCAAACATGTGAATCGAATTGGAAAACTGGTTTGATGAAAGAAGCTTTCAAAACAGAAATGTTTCTCACTCATTTTTAGACCGATTTTTATAGAGATTTATGATATATCATTAAGATGTTAATAAGATGATATGATAAGATTTTCGTCTTTTTCATATTATTATCGTTATTATTAATCTTAGTCACGGTACATTTTAAAATTCTTTATTCTATTTTTTTTTTCATCTTTAAAAGGCCCCCCTAAAAATAGGCTTGACATTTTTTAAATTTCTCTCGGCTATTTCATTGTATTATACCCTGAACCAAAGATAATCTAAACACTTTGATGAGTAACGCCCATACATTTCCATGCGACGCAAAATTACTAGCCTGGCTTCTTAAACTGGCTTTTACGATTCCGCACGACAAGGCAGCCGACTGCTGTTCATGTTAGACGAACGAATGCCGAAGTCTCGTGGCGGGCTGATTCTGACACGAACAGCGAAATTAGTCGCCAGCCTTCGGCAAAGCTGGAGTCGATTGTTTTGATTTTATTTGTTGTTGGTTCTTATGGAAAATGTTCTGAACTTGTCATTGAATTGTGCACATCGGCAGAAGTAGCGGCAGCCAGTCGGCTGTTGTGTATTTCTAGTACATTTTATTTTTAGCTTTTTTGCTCTCTCGTTTGCGTTTTAAATTTTCAAAAACTGCACTGAATCATTTTGTTGTATGGCGTTACCCATGTTAGTCTTCATATTGTCTTTGCCTGAACCCACTGTGGTGTGCAGGGCATGATAGTTTCGTAAAAATATCTGCGATAGGTGTATCGATCATGTGCACCGTTCCCATACAAATTAATAATATTAAAAAATACAATACATTTCAATTTATTATTTCCACTTATTAAGAAAATTTTTTCCTTGCAATATCTTTTAAGAGTTTTTTGTATTTGTGCAAAATCCAAATGTATGTAACAGGCAGAAAGAAGCATCTCCGACCCCATAAAGTATATATATATTCTTGATCAGCACCAATTGCCGAGTCGATCTAGCCATGTCCGTCTGTCCGTATGTATGAACGCAAGGATCTCAGAACCTGTAAGAGCTAGAGAGCTAAAGTATGTGCTCCTAGTGCCCGCGCAGATCGAGCTTGTTTCCGATAATCGATAACTTACTCCGTTTCCAAGCAATCGATAAAAATCGATATTGATATCCTGTTTTTTGTGCAATTTTGGTAAATAATAAGAGCTAGAGTCACCAAACCTGACATAGCTTCTAAAATAGAATATATAAAAATATATAAAAAATAAAATATATATATAAAATATATGTATTTGATGTTGGAAGAAGAGGGTACGGGAGCTCCCGACTCTTACTTGTTTAAAATATCACAAAACGTTCCCTAGTCGTATCTGCGTACTTGCGATAGTCGTAAATTAAACTTTGACAGGCACAAACTGAACGACATATGAATCATATTGCTATCGTTTCCCGATGTATTTGCGAGAGTTTTGTCGGATAAAGTCTCGCATTTTTATTATTATTTGAGTCAGTTTGATCCGTTGGTACCTTTTCTTTGTTGTGTGTCTGGGTGTGTGTGCAGAAAGAGCGTACAATGCCGATTGCCCCGATTCGGTCTGCTATGGCCTACTATTGAGTTTGTTGGTCTAGTTGGATTCCGTATTGCACACAGTTCAGTTCAGTTCTCGCAGCATGTCAGCCGGTGCAAACGATAACACATTGCACTGTGGCCCCTGCGTGGGAGTGCTGTGCATCGATATGGCCACATCTTTGTCCTTGCTGGCGCGTCCTGGCCGGTACCCAGGCACAGGCTCCGATAAGGCAAAGGCGACAAGGTTATTTTTGATATATATGTACATACGTTTGGGTATGCTTTGTATCGCTGCTCTGTTTCATATTATTGCAGCTATCTAGCAGCATCCTATGCCAAGTGGGTGGCAGCGGCAGGTGCGCGCATCGTTCCCATTTGGTGAGTTAACCGACTATGAATATATGTGTGTGCATTTATGGTGCATCGAGTTTCTGTTGTGCAATTATCAGCAGACAGGCGAACATAATAGGACAGTATTGTATTGTAGGCATCTATGACAAGAGTCGGGCGAAAAAATGCATTTGTGTATGACAAAATTATTGAACTTTAGCGTAAGGCAAGGCAAATATTCGACGTGCCGAAGATATCTGTGGCTTATCGTCTAATTCAGAGCTAAGAGCTTTTAACAGAGTATTTTCCAGTCAAGTGTTTGAAGAGTTAGAAAAAGGGTATTCACTAAATTCGTGCTTATGACGCGTTTAACACTTTAACTTACAATTTAATGAAATCTTTAATAGATTAGCTCTTATCTACATAAACTTTAGTATATAGAAATTTTAGAAGGAAATCGTTTTAATAAACCTGATTTTATGAATCATTTTCTTTATCACTCTGTTATTCGTAAATTGATTCGAACACGTAGCCGCATTTTGAAACGATTTTATGTTATTACAAAAATTCGAAATGCATGAAAATGAGAAGTCGATCAACGAGCCGGGGCAGAACAAAAAAGAGCGGCTGGGGCAGGGCGATCATTTGGGGCCGCCGGAAGCGCATATTCCCATTGTTGGCGTCATGTGCATGGATATGGCACAATCGCTGAACGCATATTATGACAACGGCCATTGGCTCAGTTATTTGCCGGCCTCCTATATAAGGCATCTGGAGGCATCGGGGGCACTGGTCATACCTATTTGGTGAGTGCACGCAAATAACGGGCGGACAATGTGTATGCTTATCTTGAAATGTGAGGCACGAATGGGCGAGGCATGGGGCATGGGAGTACAGGGGTTGTTAAGGTTTGCAATGTAGCTGGCATTTTGCCCATCATTTGCTATGCGAACCAAATTATTTCTGAGAATTTGTTTTTGTGCCCATTGATGAAATGCGTAAAAAGGGTATATTGTTTTTGATCAAATGTTTGTAACGTCTCCGATCTATATATATATATATATATACTTGATCAGCATCAGCAGCCGAGTCAATCTAGCCATGCATCTCTGCCAGCCGTCTTTCTGTCTGTCCGTCTATCCGTCTATCGTTTCCGTCTAAGAATCGAGCAATTACAGCCACAATTTATATGCTGATATATATTTTTGATATTTTTTGATTTAAGAAATACAGAAGTTGTTGGAGTGTGAAGTGTGGTTGGCAGGCCTTGTGTTTGGGGCAGCCAGTGCATGGCGCAAGAGTTTCTGTATACATGAGCACACACACACACACGTACACACACACACATGCGTACGCACAGTTATAATTGTGTTAATTCCGTTATCGCTCGTTATGGAGCACGGGTGTAAGGCATTGGAAAGTAATTCGCTTAGCTAAAGTTAGTTCCGAGCTCAAAATAAATATATTTAAAATAATTTTTTGTGTTGCTAGGTTCACGGCATTTTCCAGTCGTGCACGCCCGCCTAGAGCACTCTTAATTGTTAAATAATATGTGTATGTTTATTGTCTGGCATTTTTCGATGCACATTTGATGTCTGTGTAGGATTGGCCGTGAACGTGCTTATTATGCGTCAATGCTGGAACTGGTTAATGGTGTGCTGCTGCCCGGTGGCGCAGTCTATCTAGATGATGAGGACAAGCATGTAGAAAAAGATCCCAACTTGACAAATTTATGTGTGCAGTCGGTTAACTACATTTATGAACTAGCGCTGGAGCTGAACGTGGCCGGAAATAACCTACCCGTATGGGGCACTTGTCTCGGCTTTCAGCTGATGCTGAAAAGTGCGGCAAGTGCGGCAGGTGCGGCAGGTGCGCCAATGATGCGCGACAAGTGCGGCAAAATATTTGATGCTAAGCCATTGCAACTGGAGCCGGGCTACGAGGCAGCCCGTATGTTTCGCCAGCTGTCGCCGGAGCAGGCCAAGCAGCTGGAGAGTGTGCCATTTGCCTGTCATCAGCATAGGTTTTGCATCACGGAGGAGAGTCTGGTAGGCAGCAAGATGGACGCCGATTGGCATGTGCTGGCCACGCGCACTTCGGAGGAGGGCAAGCGCTTCATAACGCTCATCGAGCATCGTGATCATCCCTTCTTTGGCTGTCAGTTTCATCCGGAGCGTGCCGCCTACGAGCAGCTCTTTGCTCGCGAGGATGCCTGCCGCGATGCCCACACCAGGGAGGGCATCCAGCTGGCCCAGTACTTTGCCGAGGTCTTCGTCGATGCCTGTCGCCGCAATCCGAACAGATTCGACAGCGTGGAGCAGCTGTCGCGTCACTTGATCCACAACTGGCAGCCCGTTTTTAGCGGTCAGTTTAATAAAGCCAATTGGCTGGAGGTATATCTCTTTCCCAAGGATGTGGACTATATGCGAGCAGTTGAAAATTGAGCTACTTTAACCCGAAACAGATTATTTCCAGAAACACGAACGACAAACCTGATAAGACTCTTCTGATACCAACTTGTGATGATGCGAACTCAACTATATTTTTAATATATACATATATAATACATAATTAACATATAATCTATATATCTCACTATCTATCTCACTATATATCTCACTATATATCTATTGTCATATATATTTGCCATGGAACGATCAGACTAAAATGAAATGCTTAGAAAATGTTTTTTTTTTTTATTGTTTAAATTCTATACTCGAACTCTGATACTCTCAAAAATTGTATTTAAACATAGGTCATAATTTTCTATCCCCATAAATATATTCTATATATACATAGGTCAAAATATCTAACCCCCATATATATATATATCCCATATAGAAATAGGTCGAAACTTACTAATCCCATAACTCCGTCAAAACTCAACCGATTTTCATAAAGTTTGGCTTTTTGTAGATGGTATGGTCTCTAGATCAATGTGGCATCAAAATCTGACAACACTATTTTTGGTCGAAACTCATGTGAAATATCCTCAGATATTCTTTATAGAGATAGGACGAAACTTCCTAAACCCATAACTCGGTCAAAACTCAACCGATTTTCATAAAGTTTGGCTTTTTGTTGTTGGTGTGTTCTCTAGATAAATGTGGCATCAAAATCTGACAACACTATTTTTGGTAGAAATTCATGTGAAATATCCTCAAATATTCTATAAAGACACAGGCCGAAACTTCCTAAACCCATAACTCGATCAAAACTCAACCGATTTTCAAAAAGTTGGGCTTTTAATTCATGGTTTGGTCCCTAGATCAATGTAGCATTAAAATCTGACAACACTATTTTTGGTCGAAATTCATATAAAAATGGTTAAAATTCCCCACAACAGATATCGATCCTTATAAACAAAATTTAGATATCTAACATAAATCTGCATATTATATAGTCAGTTTTTTACTTTGATTACGATTAGCTAACCATATGCTAGTTAATGAGATTGTTTGGCAAATAGAATAGAAATTGATTTCATGCATGAAAACATACGTTTGAGTACTTTTTCGTTTCTCACTTGCAAATTTCGTGTACTTTTCCACTTGGCTCTATTGTGCTCAGGGCGTGGCTGGGAGGCTTGTCACCTGCTCAAGCCTCGCCCGAAATCGCCCATTGCCGTCTTTCTCTATGTACTTGTGTTTCTAATTAGCCCGTTTCTGGTTCGTTCCTGGAGTTCTGCTTTTTTCTTATGCGCATTTGTCTGGCACGTGTTGTGTTGGGCAGCCTTCAGCCGCACCATCACCGCCCGTTACACCTGGTGGGGTTAAGGTTCAAATTGACGGGCAGAATAAAATAATTGTCGCCCGTCTGTGGCAACGTGTTATTGTGTTATTGCGCTGCGCCCCATTGTTCTGGCTGTTCGTCCGATAGTGTGAGCATGAGGACGTGAGCGAGACGCCATTGTCCGCATTGTCGGACACGTATGTTGCGCTTTTTATATTCTTGCTCCTAAGTGCTATCTCCACGGCGCCGATAACGCCATCTAGCGGCCAGGTCTGGCGTGCCGGACACGAGAAATCACTCGGGCGTCGCGTGCGCCCAACCAAAAGAAAACCACATATATATATATATATATATATTTTTTTTGGATGTGGCATTTGAAGCTTCATTTGTTGCGGTCAGTTTGTGTGCGTGTGTGTGTGTGTGTGTGCGTGTTTGTGTATTAGGCACTGCTCATTTAACCCATCTACTTATAGGCAGCACAACGGCCGGCTTAAATGCCCTTGTGCTCATTTTGAGCATACACACACACACACAAGTATGAAAGTAACTGCTGGCATACATTTATATACTTTTAAATACACTCAAAGTAAGCCGCCACAAATACACACACACACACACACACACACACACACACACTCACACATACGCACACAGCTAGCCTGTAAAAGGCCAAACCTCCGTTTTTAATGACGTCATAGGCGCTAGCTGCAAAAATTTGAGCACATGCTGGCACCCCCCTTTGCCTCTCGCTCAGCACGCTAGCTGCCCTTTAAACCTAGTTGGCGTGCATTGAACTGCGATTCTCTCTCTCTCTCTCTTTATCTGTGTCTTCCTCTCTCTCTTCCTATCTCCCTCGCTTACACTTTTGCGCAGCGGCTGCGCTCTCTGCCGCATTTGCAGGCTGCAGCTGCAACGGGCAATGAACTGCCTGCTGCAAGGTTATTGCAGTCACACATTCGCACACACACACACACACACACACACACACACACACAGATACACACCCATACGCGCACTCGCACACATACTACACACTTCCGCCGGCACACACTCGCTTTACACTTTAGCCCGGTTATGCGACAATAATAAATATGCTGCAGCCTCGTTCTGCTTCCCGCGTCCCGCCCCAAAGAGCTGGGCCCGTTGTCTGCAACTGCTTCACATTGTCGCATTTGGCATTTAACTGCAGTTGAAGGATGCACAAAGTACATGTATCTGGCCAACTGGTGACTGCCTCTGCAGTTACGCCTCTATTCAAGGTTGCCAAAAGGAAGCCAATTGTAAATGGAAACTCTTCAACCCCAAAGTTGATCTGGAAAATTCGTTAGAGCCGAGAAATTTTGCTGGCTTGATAATATATGTCCGACGCCTCGAAGCATATGTATTGCAGAAGCCCGTAAATTACGCACATACTTAATAAAAATGTATTTATTATCGAGCCTCGATCCAGATATGTGCATCTCTTCTCTCTAACTCAACAGACACAACATGCAGGCCCTGGCTTTTAGGCAAGGCATAGTAAGAAAGGTACCCCAAATTAATTATACAAGATTCAATTTGTACTAAATGCCCTGCTCCATATGAGCAAAACGAGTAAATATGTCAGCACTTCACTAGGAACATGGCAACCGGCTGTGTAAGCTATGTACTCATTATTCATTAATCGGAATAATTGTAATTAACGTGTGAGTGCTTTACGCCGCGTCAGCAATGTGTGAGCTGGTGGGTGCACTGCGCCGGTCTCTGCGAGCACTTGCGGTGGCCCGGCAAGGCCTGAGAGAGAGTGAGAGAGAGAGAGAGAGAGGGAGAAGCTGCAATCGCTCTGCAGCACGCTGAATGCGCCGCCATTAAAAAAAAAAAGAAAACATTTCTTGAGGTTGGTCAGGGAGGGCTCAAGCAGAGGCACATTGAGGCTGGTCAGGTTGAGAGATTGAAAGATAAAGCTCAAGACAAAAGATACGATACGATACGTTATGCTTAAGCCTGAAGAGGAGATAGGTCTATGGGGAAAAGGGAAGGGGGCCGAAAATATAACTATGATTATGATAATTAATATAATTTCATATCATTATGACAACTGTTACTACTAATATTATTCGATTAATTATAATTAGTTATTAACCAATTATTTTATTTTTGTTTTAAATGGCACTGGCTACTTGTGACCTTCAGCCTAGACAATTCAGTATCCATACATGAGCCAAAGATTTGAACCCATTTCCTCGTCTATATATCATTTGCCCTTTTGTAATAGATCGTAAAAAAATTTCCGTTGCCTACTTTTAAGGGCTCGCAGTTTTTCACTTGAATCCCTAGCTGTTTATTGTTATTTTACGTTTTGGTGACAGGCCAGTTGGCGGGGTTAAAATTAACCTGACATTTAGTTATGCGAGTGTGTGTGTGTGTGCTTTTTTTTGTGACGTCACACACACACACACACACACACAGACCGCTAGAAGGTCAATACGTACGACACAGTACAAAAGCTCCGTGATTTGCAGCCAGCATATTTAGGTTAAGCCCAACTCTCGAGCGGAAATCTCTGCTGGCTTAGTTCGCTGCGGTTCGGCGCCCTTAATGTGCCACGCCCCCCACCCGCTCTAACCCCCTCGCAGCCTACTGGTAAAGGGGCACATTAATCAGCGGGCCGAGTGTTAGTTTGTTTTGGGTCAAGTGTGTTGTGGCTTGAGCTGCCGTTTGACCTTTGGCATAGTTGCTGCCGTTGCCGGCCGTGTCGCATCCTTTGGCCTCACTTTTGTTGCAATTGTTCGCGTTCGGCTGGCACAAGGTTTTGCGTATCTGCATTCAAATTAGTCGCTGCCGCTATTTATAAGCCGAGGCGCCACTTCATAAGCGTGTGCAAAGGTCTGTAAAGCATTCGACTTGGCTGGCCATTAGCTACATTATGCAAGCCACGCGTTTGGTTCGGGCATCGCCTTTTATTTCGCTGTTTATTAATAAAGCGCTCTACGGCATGTGGCATGTGCAACTAATGCATGTATAAATAAACCATAAACCATTGACAAAGCGCCGTCACATGCACACATTTATATGTTTATTCAATTATATACTTATATGTGTTGTACGTGACGTATACGTAATGTATTTTAAGCATTATTTCAATTTGTTTTGCGTGCGTGTATTTGAGATGCTCTGCAAGTGTTTCTAGAATGAAATGTGGAGCGGCTGCGGCTGCGGCTGTGGCTTTGTGGTGTGTGTTGCTGCTGGTGCAGAGATGGGTGGTGCAGCAATGCAGTTGAGAAACGTCAATGGAACCGACGACAACGATGATGACGACGACGACGACGACGCAGCGGGCAGCCCTGACCCAGTTAGTTGGCTTTCGCCTCTTTCTGTCGCGACACACACACACACACACACACACACACACACACACACACACACACATACATGTGCCTTTAACGACGTCACGTCTGTTGGAAACCTTCGCCCAGTGCGGTCAACCTGTATACGAGCTTGGCATATCGGCCCAATATAATTTTGATTAAAATGTCGCACAGCCATCAAATGGCAGCTGCTCGCATCGTAAGTTGCAACAATATTCTGGGCATATGGCACAGCGCGTATACGCAATAAACGTATTATCGAGCTATCGGGCAAATCAATTTGTGAACAGCAGCTACTGCAGCAGCCCATTTGGCGTGCTCAACCCGGACGCGTATCCTTGCACTTTACCTAATTGAAAGCGTGCGTCAGCATTGCAAAGTTCAACGACCTCGTAGGGCTGCGTAGGTGAGCTGGCAAGGTGTGTAAAGCCGGCATTTGTGCTCTGCCCGAGGCACTTTAAGGAAGTTCAGTGGGGCAAGCACCTGCTGTAAAAGCAAACAGACTTAAATATGGGACAGCAGCCGCTAGCTTGTTTTTGTTGCTCCATTTCGCAATGCTGCCTGACTAGATGATACCCTGTACACAGCTTTTCAGTATAGCCTTAACAT